CTATCTAATATGGTGCTAAAACACTTGACAACTTACTGAAAATATTTTACAAAATTGGTCAAATATCATTTGCAACTGCCGCGAGAATCTTATTCCTCGAGTTTGGGCATGGTTAGCCCTTTCCCTTCTGTGAGATCAATTGCCTTTTCACTCACCCTCTCCCACTCAAAGCACTAAATCATGACCCCAAACCGAAACCCACAACACGTTGTGCCAATCCAACTCCCGGACAGGCTCTCCTTCTCATCCCAAAAATATAGTTCAATTGGTACAATCATATAATATGGGGCTAAAGAAAAACTATCCAGTAAGAAACAAACATGAAGTACAGTTCAATTGGTATAATCATATAATATTGATGATATAGTTTAATGTAAAATGAATTTGTGTTTAGGTTAATTAATCTAACTATATAATAAAATGATGTGAATATATGTATTCACTAAGTATATATATGTGTATATAAGAAACGATGCTGTCAAACTGAAAAAGAAGATCCGGAAAAGACTAGTGAAAATTAACCTTTATGTGGATAACCAACTTTGTAGATAATCAAACTTTTAATTTATTCAAGTAATGTATGTCTCATAAACTTTAATGTGATGTATGTCTCATAAAGAGAAGTTGTACCAAGGCTCTTAACACAAAATTTTAAAATTAAATATATATATATATAGTTATAAACAATCTTTATAAGGTTTTGGCATGTCATTCAAATTCAAAATAAGATGTAATGTCGTTTTGAATTTTTAATTCTTTTGAATTTAAAATATAGACGATATCTAAAATTTTATTTGGGAGACATCTAAATGTAAAGATGTTTTTTTTAAGAAACAAAAAAATTAAATATGCACTCTATTTATTTATCAAAAATTGTTATTTATCATAAAAATATTTCACCAAACTTTTTATCCCTTATGTAACTTTTTATATGAAATCGTATGTCTCATTATTTTAAAAATATTATTAATCTCATATGTATGAAATATATTAAGTGAATGTAAACAATAGGTGATATAAAACTTGAAATATATTAATAAATAATATTTCTCCAACATTATTATAATGGTGATTGGGATAAGAAGTTTGAACTAAAATAGTCAATACGGATAAAATATATATATATATATATGTATTAAAATAGTTAATAAGACAAAATGTTATATCTTATAC